CGGGGAACTCTGCAAAAAACGCATCTTCGCACGGGCAGCCCGTGCGTTGGCCAATTTTTTTTTTATAATACCAAGGTCACCCGAATAGTCGACATTAGTTTCCTGTACTAGTGGTTTTGCCTGGATGCTTCCGCATGTGAGGCACAGCTATGGTAGGTCTTTCAGCCTTGAACCACATGCTTCCAGTTGGTATTCACCGTCTCTTTGATGTATTTGCGTTAGCTTTTCGGTTATCGCTCAAACGACTTCAGAGGTCAATAATCTGCTGTATCATTCGTTTGTCAGCAAGGCTAGCAGCATGTGCTGCCGGTCAGATTTCACTTCTCACGCGGATACGCGCTATTTGCTTGACAGAGTTTTTTGTTGGCTTATAAGAGAAAAACAAATGTCAAGATCGCTCGCTGGTAGTTAATCACCAGACTATGCAGAATCGGCCAAAGCATTTGAAAAAGTTGCCGAGTGTATAGTTGGAGAACCAGACAATGAATTATTTGCTGTTTTAAGTATAACCAAAGGAATTTAGAATAGCCATGTAAGCATTATCGCTAACATCGCATTCTCTAAACTGCGAGATTGGGTGATTTTGGTATTTCGGTACATTGAAATTATAAGTACGGCACAGTGGGAAACAGAAATTTTGTTGTTATGCAGACCTTCTGATCGAAAGTTTAATTTTGTTCACTGGGACAACCAATCCCTCTACGATTCGTTCACTCGTTTTGATGGCAAATTGGCATGGGCATGTGCGAGGGAGTTTATTTGTAGGTAACCCTCAAAAAAGAGTCATGAGTAGCTTTGCCACTGTTTGTTGCCTCCTGGCGTTTAATACCCACTTGAGCCACTTTCCAAGTGTGTTCGCTTATCGTAAAGAGCGAGAGCAGTGAGGATTTTTAATTTGTCATAAAAGTGATGTTTTCTAAAAATTCGCATACTTTTCCAATTGTTATAATAAAAAGGGGTTTTTTAGAAGCTGGAGTTTGAAATGAAGCGCCGCCAACGAGATGTGGATGAATGCATAAAGTTAGCGCATAGTTACCTTATGCAGCACGATTTACGGCCACGTATGCGAAGCACCAGTGTTCTAGTACCAGATGAAGAAGCTGGTGAGTTGTTTTTAAAAATCTCGAATAAATACAGTGGTGCTGTGTAAGGACAAAAGAGTCATGCCTTCTGTTACCTCGTGATAAACACCTAATCCTCTCCAAAGAAGAAAATTTCTGCGAATTTCTCCTGAGATCAAGAAAAGAATTTGTTGTTAGCCTCACCCAAGTGCACTTAGTAATGCATTTCCAGAAAATGGGAATGCTGAGCTGCGTCGCGTTGGTATTCAAATTAAATCGGATAGCGATCGGCTGGGCGAGAAATGGGCTGAGCTCCGGGAGCAGTTGGGAGCCTGGACTCGTATCATCGTTGATGCGCACGCGAAAATGGAAAAAATGGCAGCCGCAATCGCGGAATGCCAGTTGGCGCTATCGAACATGGAAGAACGCATGGAGTTGCTTCGACCGGTCGAGCAGCTACGTCTGGAAGAGCTACCGGCAGCGGTGGATGAAAGTGAGCAACTGAAAGAGTGTCTGGCACGAACGCGAATTCACATCGACGACGCGAATGATTGGAGTGGCCAACTGCTAGCATCCGATGTTGATCTGGCGCCCGAGCCAAGCGTACAATTGAAATCCATCAATGACAGGTTTGTGGGATTTTCGGATCTTCCTGGTTCTTATGCTTTATCCTGAAAAATAAGTTATGTAAGCGGATGTAGGATGCCGTTGCGAACAGATGAATTGGGAGAAAAAATCGCCAAAGTAATCGGTAAGTGAATACCATATTAGTGATTCTACTGTGGTACTCCTGAATACGACGCACTTCTGTGTCGGATTCTTCGATCCCGAGCTGCATGCCTCTTCTTCGAAATTTTTACTTTTTTATGAGTACCACTCGCTAGTGTGCTGCGCCGGTCGGTTTAGCAATAAAGCAAGTTCACTTTTTGGATGGCTTGTTTCGTATTTAAGCACGCGGAGACAATTCAAGTTTGTAC